GGAGGAAAAGATGGAAAGAACAATCCAGGAAACAGCCCTAGAAGGAGGGCAAGAGCTGGATGAGTCCAAAAATTCACCTCTCGATATCACATACTCTCCTGTGTGCAGGGACCCCCTGGGACTTGTGGGGACAATGACAGGCCAAACGACTCCTGCTGCTGTCACAGATGGGGGACACCCAGAGGAGAATGAGAGCGGACGTTGAAACATGAAAATAAACAGGCATGATCTACAAAAAACCCCAAAGAAACAAAATATAAACACATAAAAGATGGGAGTGGAGGGCCTGACCCAGGCCTGAGCCTATGCTGACCTGGCCACATGAAGCCCTCGCTGCCCATGGTCCTGAAGACATGACAAGGCCCAGGTGATATCCAAGTCCCTGTAATCACAGGTCCTGGTGGAACAAGGTTCTATAGAGGGGAGGAGAACAAAGGAGCAGAGACATGACCCAGCCAAGGAGTGACCACATCAAAGCGCACGATGCACTGAACATCAACTGGGCACAGGCCCCGTCCACACTCGGCTGTTCACAACCTTCTCCTGCCCCCACCTGCAACAGACTGAGCAGAGCAAGCACATGAATTCTGGAAGGTTCTCAGTGTTTCCATTTATTATCTCTCTTTAGGAATCTTCTCCTTTAATTCACACATCAATCTCTTAGACAAGAATTAGAAAAAACAAATTCATATCTGGCTTCATATTTTCAATAAGGAAGCAAATCATTACTACTCAGTGCAACATGAAGTAAAGACAGGGATGGAGATGGCCCAGCTGCACCTCTGCTGGAACAGGAAGGTCAATCAGGGAAAGAACACAGGTCAGTGAAGGGAGGGAGTCATGGTGGACAGGCGGTGGGCTAGTCTCTCCATCTTCTCACATTATGGTAATAGGAACACTTACACATTCTGATGCCAGTTGCAGAAAGAGCAGTCAAGGATTCTTATGTCACAAGAGGTGTGAATAAACCTTGCATCACTCAGTCTCCCACAAGGCAGCTGTCTCAGACTGTGAAAGAAAAAACTCATGAACAAATTCAGGTCAGTCACATAGTGTTGACATCCTCAAGCCCACCGCATTCTCAACATGTCCCAATCAAAGAATTTCCATAATCCAGTCATGTCCCCTCTCCTCAACACCCCTCCCACTTTGGGCCTCCATTGTCTCACCTTTAGGATCCACGAGAGATGCATCAGAGCCCTGGGCACTGTCGCTGCCTGGGGTAGAACAAAACAGGACGTGGTCAGAGCCCATAGGAGATGAGACTAAAGGAGGAACTATGGGGTGGGTGAGCTCCCCCATGGCTCCGCCTACACTATCACAAGGATCTCAGGATCAACCTCCACTCAAACTTACTTGTAGCCTGAGCATAACTCCCTCTTTTTTCACCTGTGGGAAGATAACAGAGAGAAGGCTGGATCATGAGATACTAGGGGAAACCCCTAGTCCTGAACTATAGGGAAGTTTCCAGAAATCTGACTGAAGACCCAGGGCAGGATGGGGAAACATGAAAAAAGGAGACATATGGGAACCGGACCAACTGCCCTCCTGGAGCTCTGTCCTCAGCAGGGATTTTTCCCTGTAATTTTGACTCCTGGGAATCAGGTCCCCAGCACCAGAATTATCAAGGTGAAAAAAATCTGTCTTTTCATTTTCACAAGGGCTTTACAATAGAGTGTTAGCAACCAGCTCCAGAGTGGTGAGTACATGTGTGTGTGGATGGGACTTCCCATTAATGAGGCAGGACAAACTTCTACCTGGGCTTGAAACCCCCCAGTGGGACAAGAAAACTCAGACCACATCCCTTCCCTACCTGGGTGCTTCTTCCTCCACATCACAGCTCCAGCCACCACAGCTCCAGTGACCAAAGCCCCAAGGAGAACCAGGCCAACAATGATGCCCACGGTGGGGATGGTAGGCTGAGGAGGCGGCTCTAGGAAGGGAAGGGAAGGTGAGGGACTCTGACCTCAGGCTCACGTCCTGACCTTGCTGAAGGTGTCCAAAAGGGCTTCGGTTTTCCCTGAGAAGAGGCAACTCTCCCATCTCCCTCCTCACCCCATCTCAGGGTGACCGGCTCAGGCAGCCCCTCGTGCTGCACATGGCATGTGTATCTCTGCTCCTCTCCAGAAGGTACCACCACAGCTGCCCACTTCTGGAAGGTCCTGTCCCCTGCAGGCCTGGTCTCCACAAACTCCATGTCCTGGGTCAGGTCCTCCCCATCACGCTGCCAGGTCAGGGTGATCTCTGCAGGGTAGAAGCCCAGGGCCCAGCACCTCAAGGTGACCTCATGGTCAGATATGGAGTGGTGGGTCACATGACTCTTTGGGGGTTCTGAGGAGGAAGAATCAGAAATTTCACACTTTTGGTTACCTCCATGGGCCACTAAAGGAGCTCTCATATGATCATCCTGAGAATGGACAGGACAATTGGTTTAGCAGGAGGAAGCACACAACTCAGACATCAGCCTGGATTTGGGGATCTAGTACAATCTCTTATTTCTTGGAAAGTTCTAGAATCAGGGTGAAAGCCCAGGGTAGGAAGCTCCAGGTCTCTAAAGAGGAGAACACAGACTCTGGTCCTGACCTGGTGGAGGGTGAATGACTCAGAAAAGCTGGAGTCAGACCCGCAAAGATGTTCTCAGGCCGAGAACAAGGCCTTGAGAGAGGAAGTCATGGTTCACAAGATGGCTGCCAGGGTCAAAGGGAACCAACCATAAGAGATTTCAGGGATGGTGTCCCCTCCTATTCTTTAAGAAACTGTACTCCTTAACTGTCCTTTAGAGAAGGGTGGGCCCTCTGCGCAAGTCATTAGTACAGAATAGGAAAACCTGGGTGGATTCCTCCCTCTCCCGATGGGCGGTATTCTGACATTGATCCCATTTCCTCCCCTCTCTGTGGGATGCCAGCCCCAGCCCGAGGGGAGATCTGGAAGCCCCGCAGCCCCTCGTACCTGCGCGCTGCAGCGTCTCCTTCCCGTTCTCCAGGTATCTGAGGAGCCCCTCCACGCAGGTGCCCTCCAGGTAGGCCCTGTCGAACTCGGCCGCACCCGCGGCCTCCCACTTGCGCCGGGTGACCTGAGCCGCCGTGTCCGCCGCGGTCCAGGAGCGCAGGTCCTCGTTCAGGGCGATGTAATCGGCGCCGTCGTAGGCGAACTGTTTATACCCGAGGAGGAGGCGCCCGTCGGGCCCCACGTGGCAGCCAGACACCTTCTGGAGGGTGTGAGACCCTGACCCCGCCCCGCGGTCAGCCCCGCCCACTGGGCCCCGCCCTCGATCCAACCCTACCCAACCGGATCCCCAGTGATTAAACCTAAACTGAAAAATCCCCGCCGTCTCTCCCGGGTCGGGGGGCCAGGCGGGTCCCTCAGCCTCGGGGTGAATCTCAGACGCCGAGACTCGGGGAGACCCCGGCCCGTGCGTGGGGGGTCGTGACCTGGACTCGGGCCGTGTCGCTCACCAGCCTCGCTCTGGTTGAAGTAGCTGCGCAGGGTACTCAAATTGTCTCGGAAACCCTGTGCGTGGTCCTTGGCCTTCCGCGTCTCTTCCTCCCAATACTGCGCCCCCTCCTGCTCCATCCACGGCGCCCGCGGCTCCATCCTCGGACTCGCGGCGTCGCTGTCGAACCGCACGAACTGCGTGTCGTCCACGTAGCCGACGGCGATGAAGCGGGGCTCCCCGCGGCCGGGCCGGGACACGGCGGTGCTGAAATACCTCAGGGAGTGGGAGCCTGGGGGCGGGGAGGGGCTGAGACCCGGCCCGACCCTCCTCCCGGCGCGGGTCCCGGGTCCCAGAGTGATGGGGCCGGGAGGGGGGACGGGACGCGTGGGTCGTGAGACGGAAAAGAGGCAGTGGGAGACCCGAGTGGGTGACAGGAGGGGGCAGGAGAAGGGAGGGGTCAGGGCGGGGCGGGGCCGAGGAGGGGCAGGGGGTCTGGGCAGGTGTCCGCGGAGACGCGCCTTCCCTGGGGGATCCTGCGCCCCCGCCGTGCGGTCCCCTCGCGCCACCGCCCGCAGAGGCCGTTTCCTCCCGACCCCGCGCTCACCCGCCCAGGTCTCGGTCAGGGCCAGGGTCCCCGAGAGCAGCAGGAGGGAGATTGGGGGCATCATGACCCTCTCTCTTCCTTGGGGTCTGGGGAGAAGCTGAGTCCCGGCGGGTCAGTGGAGACTTTATAACCGGGAACCGAGGAGACGCTGATTGGCTGCTCTAGAAACCGGACGCGCAATGGGAGTGAGAACCGGGGCCGCGTCATGAGTCTCCAGGCGGGAGGACCTATCAGGTTGTGAGAGGGAGAAGTGAAACTCAGGGCGATGAGGGCTCCCCAACACCGAGGTTCCCCGCCCCAGACCCTGAGAGCCACACCTGGGGACCTGAGACTTTGCCCTGACCCCTCTCCTCCTGCACCGAGAGCTCTTTGTCACACTGTCTCTCTGAGGCCTGGTGCAGGGACTGTTTGAGTCAGCGCTTCTCAAGTATTTTGGTTTCAGGAAATCTATAGTCTTACTAATTAGAGAGGACCCCAAGGATAATTTTATGTTGGTTATATCTGTCAATATTTACCATGTTAGAAATAAAAAAGTTTTTAAAAGGTTTTATTAATTTGTTTAGAATAATATTCATAACCCGTTGCAAGTTGACAGAAATAATGCTTTTATGA